ATGTTTGTTCAGATGGACATCTATGTCCATCGTAAGGGAGGACTGATCCACAACCGCACCCTCTTCGTGGACATGGTCTGTAAGTGTCCGACCTGGGGGTCAGTTTGGTTAGTTAGTGGTCAAGGTTCAATTCCCAAAGCGGTCAGTTTGATGCAGCCATAGTTAAAAACTTTTTTTTTTCTTCCGGTCAAATCTTTGGTCAGTTCTTCTCGACCCCCCGGCCAACGTGACGGTGAACAGGACGGAGAAGCAGGACCAACTGAACGTCAGCTGGGTGGCGCCGAAGCTCAAATACATGGACGACAGCATGATGTACCAGATCAGATATTCTTCAGCAGACGGCCTTGAGACGCAGGTGGAGTCTTGGTCCAAACGTTGTCTGTCCTTCAGGTTGGACGTGTGTCCTTCAGAGTCCTGATGAATGTGGACCTCCTGTCTTCCAGGTGACAGAGTCCTTGGCCGTCACTGAGAAGATCCTGACAAACCTGCGGCCGGGTGTGAAGTATGAAGTCCAAGTACGCATCAAGCTGGACGGGATAAGCTACGACGGCTACTGGAGTGCCTGGAGCACTGGGGTCTTTATGGAAACGCCCCCTGCTGGTGAGTACAGTCTTTACACTTCATCTGTTTCAGCCCTGCTCAGAACAGAACTGACTGTTGTCCTCAGGTGATTGGACTGAACCTGGAAGTTCCTTATGAACTTTGATCAATCTGTTCATTTTTTAAATATCTTCCAGATATTTTAGTACAAAGTACAAAGTCAGAGTACTTCAAGTCTGGAGTATTACTCAACTCCAGACCAAACTGTTTGTTTGTTTTTCTCCGTGTCTCCAGAGTTCGACCCCCTGATCCTGTGTCTGACCCTCATCATCTCCTTCATCCTCCTCGTCTTCTCTCTCACCATCCTCCTCTCACATCGAAGGTCGGTCGCACGTCCATCCTTCAACACTGTAGACAGAAACACGACTGACTTCCTGTTGACTCTGACTGATCTGTGTGTATCTGTGTGTATCTGTGTGTATCTGTGTGTATCTGTGTGTATCTGTGTGTATCTGTGTGTATCTGTGTGCTGCTCCTCCAGGTTTCTGACCAAGAAGATCTGGCCTGTTGTTCCAACTCCAGAGAACAAGTTCCCCGGTCTGTTCTCTGTTTATGGTGGAGACTTTCAGGTGAGAACCAGACCAGCAGCTCAACTACAGGTGTACTGTGGTACTACACACAGTACTTCGTGGAGTTTGGACGGCGGAACCCTGGGGTTCTGAGTCAGTAAGTTCTGAGATGACCCCTGAAGTGTTGATGAAGTTTGTTTGTTTGTGTTCTCCTCCAGGAGTGGTTGGGTCACACCCGCGGCGGCCTGTGGGTGGCAGCAGATTACCTGTTCTCAGAGGAGCGACCTTCTCTTCTGGAGGTCATCTCAGAGTTCAGGCTGGGTCCTCCTCTGGTCTCCCCACCTCTTCCACCTAAGGCGCCCAGAGGTTTGACTCTGGGCAGGGAGGAGAACCAGGAGGTGCTGGAGAGGAGCGCGTCCACTGTGACCCACGACCCCTGGCTGATGGACCGTGTCCTCCACCAGACCGCCCTGCTGGAGTCCCAGGACCCCTACGTCACCCTCAGCAACCCCCCCGACGGCGAGCAGGTGGATGAGCTCCTGGAGGAGTCGTTGCCTCTGGAGGTCCTGTTCCATCCTGGGGTCACAGCTCTGTGTGAATCCCACTCTGACCTGGGGTCCGGGCAGCAGAGTTCAGGGTCCCGTATGTCGTCCCAGTCTAGCTTTGAGTACCCAAACCAGGCCTGGACACGTAAAGGCCCCGGCTACACCTACATGGCCGTGGCGGACTCGGGGGTCTCCATGGATTACAGCCCCATGAGCCGGGTGGAGGACGTTGGTCGAGTCCCTGTCTATGCAAATGACTACAAAAATGACATCATGTCCCAGAAGACACTGTTTCTGCAGAGGCAGCGCGCCGTCGATGACAACGACTGAGGAACAGGTCGGTGGAGCGACAAACAGGTCGGTGGAGCGACCCCACCCACCTGAGCTGAGCTCTGACCCTGCTGTTGAGGAACCACCGTCTGGAGTCGGGTCCTGGGACCTTGGAAGAGGAAGCTGGAGGACGTTTCTGTGTCTTCAGCCCAGATGTTGAACCTCCTTCACACAGAAAGGGCAGCTGGGAGCCTGAGACTCAGCC